GCTGCAGGTAGCCAGAGGGTATGTGGACACAGGAACATTAAGTGTTGAGAAAACAAGTATTTATTCAATCAGCAGGTGTCATCAAATCTGAGAAAGAAATCCTAAAAACAGAACATCTGAGATTAAAAAAAACAACAACAACAACAACAAAAAAGAGCCAATTTCTAGGAATTAAGGAACACAACATGGCTATGGGGATTACTATATGTTTGTTGTTTTGCTTCATCATTAAACCAGACTGAAACACTGAACAGAGTGCGTGCTTTGTGCTAGCACATCTCACCGAGAGTAAAACCTCCCGAGTCACCTGAAAATCCTGCATTAAAACTAATTCTAAATTCTGCTGCTTCCTTAACGAAACCTTCTAGTAATTCTCAGACGTTTGACATTAAATGTGACAGCAGTTACCAGGAATGAAATTCGACTGTGGTAGACGGCACTTTTGAATAGTCAAGAATGGTATTTTTATCAGTATGGAAAGTGTCTCTTTTCATGGAATTTTTACTTTGTGCTATTTGTTTAACCTTTTCAAGATTTTAACAGGTAACCTTTAGAAACTGTGTCTAATTTCAGGGTTGTATATACCACTTATGATGCTGTGTAATGTATGGTTGGCTATGATGGTTTTGATGCCTCGCTCTCTTATAGGTAGAGTCGGGCCATTTGTTGTTTATTCTTTGTCTGTTTACATCAAAGAAAATGTCAGCCATGTGTTTCTGCGCTCCGTGCTCTGAGCAGGTTTCCTGTAATAAGGCATGAAAATGTTGAGGTGACTGTACCAGCACAGCACAAAGTACAAGGGACTCAATTTTCCAGCTAATGCACATTTTTTCAGCCATGTCTTTTCTCACTGTGCAAGACACACACTCACACAGATGTGCACATCAGCACACATATAACCCCAATTTGCACTTGTGCACCAATGCATGAAATGCACACTATGTCTGAAATGCTTTTTCTGTGATGTGAAGTGAAGGTCAAGAGGACGGGGCATGAATGACTGGCTTTTATTTTAGCTTGACATCATATGCAAGATACCATCTACGTCTTTGTATTGCAACAAAAGAAGCTCTTTCCTTATTTATTTATTTTTTAAATACTGAAATTCAAAGTTGTTTTTTGATTGGATCTAGCTCAGCAATATTTAGTGCATTATGTGTCATTTGTCTGTGCTATATCGAATTAAGAGACCTAGGTTAACAGAGAGTGAGGCGTTTGGGTCGAGTAAGTCTTTCCTCAGGCTAAACAATGAGACACAGCCAATGGTGTGCTTGATGAATCTGCTGACGTGTCAGTGTCGTCGTGTAAATAATTCAGAAAGACAATAGAGAAGAACAGAAGAACTCACTGCAGATGGCTGAAGGTCAAAG